AATGATGCTGAATTAAGGAGTTTACCATGTTCTCCCTATTCAGTCCACGCTACATAAATTATACTGGTTTATCTATGTATATAAACTATTCTCAATGCAATTTTTAGCAGCAAGTCATCAAAGACATGCACGTTCCTCAAAGGCTGGGTTCCGCCTCTGTGGTGATGCGTACCAACTTAGCATTTTCAACCATGTAAAGCAAATTTGCAAGTATAAAGCCATAAGACTGTCTAAATTCACTGCCAGTTACACTGCTTGAAAAAGTAGAGTTGTCGTCAGACATAGCAAAACTTTATTTTGATTAAAATATGGCTTTGTGAGGGTCCGCAAGACTTTTGTGTTCCACTCTTCTGATATCTAGACAAGAAACAAATTGATGCTTGATAGATTGGAGGTCCACCAAATCTTAGCTAATACTGCTTATTTTGTTTAAGAGGGGGTTTTTGTACAATTACAACCAATCCACAAAGAATTAAAATTCAAAACTCATCCGAAGTCTGAAACACCAATGGGCTGTTTGAGGATCCATTATCATCGTGTATAACCAGTGGTTGTTTTGTTGTTTTAAAAAAGGATAATGGCTCATTAAAAACTCAATTAATTTAAAGAGTAATATTTTCTGATGAGACCAAGTATAGAAAGTTTCACGATTAAAGAAAAACTGTTGAGTAGGAAGGAAGAGAGGAATAAGTTACAATTTTGACAGGATGTCAGAGCATGAGGGGAGTAAATCTTGCACAAAAGCTGTGTTTCCTGCCTTAGAGTACACACTCCGCTGCCTCCCACCAGTGTTTACCACACATAGGAGGGTAATTATTGTTCCTGCTAATTAACTCAATAAAATATTCAAGAAGTAAACTACCTAGAATTCTAAACCTCATTTATAAAAGTGATACATCACTTATCAAGGTAATATAACTGTCCTGCCCCACGTGGTGGGTCGTGAGATGGGTGAATCTTTTTGATCCCCCAAGGGTTTGTGTACTGACAAGAAGCCAATCTCTGCTCGGCGGAGCCACATGGCCAGTAGAGTCATGACAATGACTCAGAGGAACAATCTAACTGGTACCTTTATTAACTGGCAAACTTACCAAGTGAACAAAGGCAATTTGGCAATGGAACTATTTTCCGCGCAACGCAACACAAGTTGTCCAAAACTTATATGCATGAATATATGGTAACGAAGTGGAGAAAGAGAGAAGTGAGAAAAAGAAAAAGGAAGAAGAGAAAGGAGAGGTATTACCACCCTTGGGTCCCGCATTGTCATCTTGGGTTGGAGTCTGGAGCCGTAGGTGATGGGTCAACAAGGCAAAATGTGTGCACTCATCCTTATATAATCCCATTAGTCCAAGACCACTCCTGGGGCAGCAACTGTCTCGCTTCTGTGCAATCAAGTGTTCCAGAGAGTTCTTGAATTGGGTTGGAGGGTGTTGGTGGGGCAGTGAGGGTCTTTGGCGATCACGTGCTCCTTTAGTGAATACCTGTTGACCGGTGTGTGCTCAGTTGTTGCCCACTGGAAGAAGCCAAGGGGGTAGCCACCACCCTGCCTCAACAGGGCTCACCCCACTCCTCTCTGTTCCCCCTCTGCCCACACAAGTTGTTTGAGACAAGGAAATATTGGACTGCCCGGTCAGTCTTAGACAATAACGAAAGATTAGGACACAGATTTCTATGTTCTTGGAGTGTAGATCTGGGAAAAGATTTAGATTTAACTCAGACACCACCGTTTTAGTTTAATACTGAGAACTTGTCCCACCAGCAGAAGCTGGAGAAAGCATCACTTAGTTCTCCAGAAAAACACAACCAGTCTAGAAACCAGCTATTTCTCCCCTAAACATCCATCCAAAACAAGATAGTGTTGTCTGGGGAACAGGCAGGTTGTTCTTCACACTCCCCAGCCTGTGAAGTTTCAAACAGCCAGCACACAAAGGAACTCAGTCCTTAACTTGCAGCCAGGCTTAGCTGAAGCTGTGACCCAGGGCATGCGGTGAAACTAAAGTGCATTGGGCTTGTAGTGAAAAAGTCTCTTCCGAAAAAGGATCATCCATGGACAGGTTACTCCAAGTTCAGGGTCAGCTCCATGCTTGCATCAAACATCTCCCTGATGGTTCTTCGCTGCATAGTCCTCTAGCCAGCTGGGATGCTTTGCACTTAACGGCTTTGCTGAAGATGTTGGAACACAAATGTTTCAGCACTGAAAATGCGAGACTAACAGGGTCAGTCGCAGCAGCACTTCCCAGGCAGGATTTGTTCTCACAGATGCCATGGCTTGGAGATGACCTTGTTGAGGTGAGGCATGGAACTGCCCTCTGCTGTCACTCCTGGCAAAGACCCACCCATCATCATCCAGGGATGAGTCCTCCAAGATGAGGTTATAGAGCAGCTCCTGTTTCCAGCTAGTGATTTCAGCCCTTCAAGCCAGCCAGTGAAGCTGGTTGAACTGGTGAACACAATTAGCAGTGAAGGTTTCTTCAACAGCAAGGAAGGAAGCTGTGTCCTCAACTCCGCTGTTGTCAAAATGCTAAAGCAGCTCTGGAAACTCTGCATCTGGTTGGGACGGGTCCCCCTGAAGCAGAAGTCACAGCGGGCAGATGACCTAGTTTGGCCGCCTACCTATGGCATGATTCACCACAGCATAAGTGCCTGTTTCTATCAACTGTGACACAAACCAAAGGAAATGAGATCAGAAAAGACACCTAAAGCCCTAACTCACAAGACCCAAAATGTAAACTTAAAAAGATAAGCCTCATAAAGAAAGAAGAATGAGGAAAAATAGCACCTGGACATACAGAACAGCTTCCTGCATGTTGGAGAGAAGAGAGGGAGCCAAGGGAGGGGCAGGAGTGGCAAAAAAAAAATCAAGGAACATCAATCATTGTCAAGCACCTCTCCCTACTGTAGTAAATGCACTTAAGATGAGCCAAATTCTGATATTACCAGTGCCAAGCTGGAGTGGCTGTGCCTCACACCGGGCACACACAGGAAAGACTCCATCGCTCATCTCCATGCCCCAGAACTCAGGGATCTGCATCAGCAGAAATCCAGGTGCATTGTGTGGGCTCAAATTCCGACCAATTCCATGTGCAAATACTGTTGCCCCCAAGGTCAGGTTCCCCACAGCAGAGAAAAAGAAGATGGAGAGAGAAATACTTCCTTGCAGTGGGTCATTTTTACTGAGCAAGTCTTTTTGCCTTGAGGTCACAAACTAGACCTGGTCCTTTGCTTCACAGGAATGTCTTCATTGCTGCTCTGTCAGCCAGAAGCAGATGTCTTAGAGCCCAATTGCCCTTGTAGTTCCCTGCTCAGTGCTCCTACTCCTGTTCCAACCCCTTAGCAGACACAAACCCTGCTCCTGCCAACCAAAGACCAGACCTTGCAGATGCTCTGCAGCAAAAGGGGTCCCAAAGAGGCCTTGATCCTCCTGGCTCCTTTAACGGCTGACTGGAGCCACGCGCGTGGTTGGAGGTCTCTCCTCCTAGGGTGGATGCCACTCTGGCTGCATGCATGTTCATGACCATTGAGCATCCAAAGTCATCTCCTGCACCACAACGTTAGAGGTGATGCTGAACAGCAGAAGGCATTCGATGGCTGCTGATGGTCCTGTCTTCTGCCGCACTAGGTGCTTCCCAGGACTCATAGTGAAGCTCAGGTGACACAAAGCCCTCCAAGGTAGAGATGGTTTAGGTAACCGAAGACCATCCCATTTAAGGCTTGAAGGCAATGACTATGCCTTAAAACATGAGGCATGAACGAGCTCTGCATTTGACCTGCACTGGGCTACAATGCTGCAGAGGTGGCTGCAATAAATCCCTTTATGCACAGGAAGGAACCCAATTGAAAAGATTGATGGATGCCAGGAGGCTTCAGACCAGCAGCCATCTTCCCCAAAGTAACAAGCACTGCATTGGCCTTCTCCCCCTCATCAAGCGTTCGGTAACTGCACTTCTGTCCTGGTTTCAGCTGGGATTGAGTTAATTTTCCTCCCAGTGGCTGGCACAGCGCTCAGGTTTGGGCTTAGGATGAGAACAATGTTGGTAACACACTGATAGTTGAGTTGGTGCTGAGCAGGGCTTACACCAGGCAGGGACTTTTCAGCTCCCCCTGCTCTGCCAGGGGCACAAGGAGCTGGGAGGGGGCACAGCCAGGACAGCTGACCCCAACTGGCCCCAGGGCTATTCCAGACCATAGGGC